TAAATTTCGCCCATTTGTCTGGGTATGTTTCTCTTACTAAACTCAAAACTCACGGATGTTGTTGGGAGAGTCCAGTGGTCTATTTTGAGTGGTATAATAGACCCTTAGAGGACCTCTCTCACACTCTGCCTTTCACTAATACCATCAGATTACCATGAAGGCTCAATTTTTGGCACAGGTCTAAAGCATAGCTCTTCGCTCTATCTGTGAATTGCACAACAAAATTATGTGGGGAAAAAGTTCATGTTCATATTGCTGTCCATCCCATTTCTCCTGCTTCATGTATGCTTATCCAACTACTTTAAGACATTCTGTGATCCCCTTAATTAGTTATCATATAAAGTCAACATTTTTTATTAATTAATACATTTTTTATTATTAGTATTAGTCAAGCCGCAACATTTCATTCACTGAGTGCAAAATAAATTTCTAACTGGTTTAATGATGCTTTGTAATTCTTTAACTCTTGTGCAGATTTGTTATCATTGTGGGTCTAAATAAAAACACAGGCATCAGTCCAACACAGCCACATCTATAATTGAGAATCATGTGTAACAGAGTAACAGTAAATCTGTAACTGGAGCTCTGGCACATTCCAGGCTGTAAATACCCAGAGATAGCCAGAGAGAGAGAGAGAGACTGTGGGGAGAAGAGAACAGGACGAGATACACAGTGCCTAAAAGAGAAAGAGTGAGAGGTGCTGAGTGTTCTGACAGCTGATGACCCTGCATAGTCATAGCCATTGACAGTGTTGTAGTTGGTGTGACTCTTGTGTATTTCAGATGCAGAACAGCAATAACTCACAGAAGTAGGACTTGGGATGGCTTGGAATCATTGAAGTTTACACAGTGTAACTCCATTTTCTGGTGTAACACTTTATAATAAATGTCCATCCATTAGCATAAGTTAAAGCATTATAGCTAACATAAACTAACAATGAGCGATATGTTTTTTTACAGCATTTGCTATTTTTGTTAATGTGTGTAAAATACAATGATTTCTTGTTTGTTCCTGTTGGTTCACAGTGCATTTACTAATAATAACAAATAAAAACTTCTGATTTGAAAACTATTTTAGTAAATGTTGAAATTATCATCTGTTAAGAATGAAATTATCATCTGTTATTTACAGTCTTAGCCAAATGTGTAAAAACTGTACCTTTACGGATACAACAGCTTGTAACTGGGGCAGTACCCTTAAAGGGTCATCTTTGCACCTTATTTACTACTAAAACTTTCATATCAGTAATTTAAGGGTATGTTACTACTCTAAAGTACTAATATGCTCATTTTAGATAAGGTGGATAAGGTACAACATTTTCCTTTTAAGGGTACAGATAAGCTGATGTACTCCTAAAGATACTTTTTTTTCTGACAGTGTAGGTTCAGAACCACTGACAGAAATGTAGCCATTCTATACTGTCAAACCAAGAGAGTCAAGAAGGGTCAACGCCTCCCCCATCACATTAAGGGAAAATTATATTTCGTTAACATTCAGACCATATAGTCATGTCAGTCAAACTGGCTTCAAGCAGCTAAATTTACTTAAATGAGTTCCTCTAATTCAGATCTCTTAAACCTGCAGGGAACTTCTGCAAGGTTTTGCATTTACGCTCAGGGACATACTACAGCATCTTACCTTCTTCAAGGTCCAGCACAGCAAGGACAGCACTGGTTCTAGCTTCACCCAGGTGATTAACAGCCACACAGGTATAGAGCCCTCCATCGTCTTGCTTACAATCTCGTATCCACAAGCCGTCATAATCCTCATGATCATTTACCAGAGAGTCATCATTATGGTACCAGTGCAGAGTGGGTCTCGGGTTGCCTCCCACAGATACCCTCAGACGGACATCACATCCTGCCGCAACAGCAGCCCACTTCAGCTTTCGGAGGAACACGGGTGGATCTTCGACGAGGAACTGCTCTGTCAAAGTTCCTTGAGTCGAGGAAATCATGGAGCTTGAGTTTCTCTTCAGCAACTCAGCTTTTTTCATTGTGATTATTTTATTGAGCAATACTGTTAAACTCAATCTTTTGCACCGAGACAAATCATTTGGTGGCCACTGACTTGTTGAGATTTTATATTCCCCAGTTTGCTATTGGCTGCCATGATGAAACTTGTCTGTAATCTGCAAAAATAATTCAAAGCAATGGTATTTTGAAATTGAGCAATTATTAAAACTATTTAATTGCAGATTGTCTGATGAGAACCTTATAATAAACACAAAATGATTACGTGTACATACCATTAAAATACATCTGGATTTAATTCATATTTAATATTGTAATAATTTGCGGTATATATTAAAAAAATATCATTTATATTTTCCATTTCATGTACACCAGAATATGGAACTGTAAATTACAAGGCAAACTAAGCCTTACATCATACTTCTTTGTACCAAAATCCAATTAACAGTATAAAAAAAAGAAGAAAAAAAAGAAAAAAAGAAAGATAAATGTTTTACCTCAACACAATGCCTCTGAATATCTTCATTAACTGCAGCTTAATTTTACACCTTCACAGGATCATGTAGTATTAGTCCAGTACCAGGGTCTGTTACACAAGAGAGGGAAATGGAGTGTTCCTTTTGGATAGTGACCCTCTCTCCCAGCAATCTACCAGCACGTCACACAGCCCCTTGCTTTTATCTTTCCTTCCATGCCCTTTATACTACACTGACTCCCTGTAGAGGTGACAGGCCACTACCACCAGCTTTCAAGTGACAGCTGGAGCAAGGGTAGGCGGAATTTTTTAGGGCGTCCCAAAATCTCTTGTGATGCTTTTACTATAATATTTGAGTTTAATACAGTTATGAGATTTGTGAGCAAGTCAAACAAAGATATGAGTACTCCACACATTTATTTATTTTAAATGTGTGTACCATTGAGAAAAAAAAAAGTTCTTATAGCTTAGCGTACAACATTTGCAGCCCAATGGAACAATCCACTTCACACTTATAAGACTCCACAATAAATGAACATAAATCCATCATTAAGAAATCATCTACTGTAAGATAATATTTTTTTATGATTTATTTATTACTTCCTAAATTCAATTTGATCAGAATACATGATTAATTTTCAGTGGCAATCAACTGAGGAAAACGCCTTTGCATGCATAATGGTGTACTTACAGCATCTACCAGCAGGGACTAACTGTTGACACTAACCAGCCAAACCCTGACCCTTTGGTCTTAAAGGCATAGTACAGACAAGTATAAATGTGACTTCTACACTCTCTGACACAAATGTGACACTCCTCCCCACTGCTGTGAAACATACCAGACACTTTGTAACCAACCAACACTACTGTTTTTGTGTATGAATACACTGAATGAATGTTGAATGATTCATTGGTTAAAGATAGCATGGGCTAGCACATGATATGTTTACCGAACAGTTTTGAATAATAGCGCAATGGAACACTGGCCTTTAGTTGTGTTGAAACAAAGAAAGGTACGCATAATACTTCAAAAAATGATCAGTATGAGTTTTCTATGGAATTTCACAAAAAATTGTAAATAATAATATTCATACAACTAAAGGCTACTATATGCCATTTCATACATTATGCAGACTGCAAAACTGATCTCTTCCTGGAAAAATTATAATAATGCTGAGCCATTTGCCAAATGCACTCCTTGTAGGTTTACCCCACCTGTGGGCACAGTGCGGAAAGCTTCCATTCCATTATTATTATGATGCATATTCTGTTATTTTGACTATTAAAAAATAGAAGAAATCCATGTGTACCACACCCATTAGTACACTGGTCTAAATCTAAACCAGACACATGTGACTAACAAAACTAATGTGTCAAAGTGTTTGCCAAAGAAAAAGACTATCGACATTTAAAATGGTGACAGCTAATATTAGCTCAGAGAAAGCATTATATATTAGCTATATTTCATATCAAACATAATATCTGATCTTTACCATTTATTCATTCTGGTGGTGTATGTGAAGTGGAGAGTGGCTGAACTGTTCTTTTCTATTTCAGAATAGTCCTGCCAAGATACTGGCAAAACACCAGACAGAGATATATGCACAACCAAGGTCAAACATTTGATAAAGTAATATCTTGTTTGTTCTTTTCAAACTCATGTTTCATACTGTGGGAAAGCAGGTGTCAATAGTATCCAAACTGTCAGAAAAATCTTACAGAGAAAAATTAATAATAAGATTTGGCCAATAAGGAGTTCTGATAACAGGCAACAATGGAATTATCAAAAATATAACATCATTATAGCCAATACAGAGCTACTATCTAAATCTAAGAACCTTGTTTTATTGATTGATTGACAGGTGAGGAGCTGCCATTCTGCTTTCCAAGGGGAAAAATAGAAATTAGCATTTACACTACAACTGCGATGACATTTTTCAAAATATCTTCTTTTATGCTTATCAGAAGCAAGTAAGTCATACAAACAAGTGATGGATCATGGAACGACATGAAGGTGATCAAATGATGGCAGAATTTTCATTTTTGAGTCAACTATTCCTTTATGACCTGGTGTAAACAGATTCATAGGATGTTTTCACACCTAATTCAGTTCAGGGGTCACCTTTGACGTATAAGGCAAAATGCAATAACATCACATTCACATGATAAATATAATGGGCTTCTGTATTTAAGATAGGTTAAACACTTCAAACAGGCCGGAGGAATAAAAGCACAATCGACTTTTGTGTAAATCTGCTTTCTGACCAAAAAGCCATTTTAAAAACCCTTCTGTTATACTGTGTCAATTCCCTCCAAGGACAAGAGAACAGGGAAAGAAACGGTCTCAAAGGATTTTAATCTCAAAAGCTGTTTTGTCTCATCCACACTGTGATAGCATGAACCCAAACAATAGTTGCCATTTGCTGGAGTGTAACAAAAAAGTCAGACTTTTTCTGCCAGACAGATCTGCAAGAGAGAAGACACTTAAGCTGAGTTTGATTCCAGCTCTCACATGAAATAGTGAATCAAAAAGTGTTTATAGATTTCTTTGATAACTTGCTGTATATATCTTTGAAAACCTTCTATACAAATCACTTTTTGTTTTTGAGCTTGTCATTTTTTCGGCATCTGATTTTAACCTCTGTTGAGTTTTGAGGATGTTTAGCTCGACCAGCTGTTTGTCTTCATTTGCTTATGCCCTGATGCTGTGGGCTTTGTTGCCACCTCCACTGGTCCTGGCCTGCCAAGGAGATGAATTACCGCGTGACATGGTGCTTGGCTGGCTGAAAAGACGGATCCTTGAAGGTTTGGGAATGGATGAGCCTCCTCTGCCAGTGCTGCAGCTACCAACACAGCAAGCAGTGGACAAAGTTGTGCATCATGTAGCTTCACGAATGACTAGGGAGACAAGAGTGGAAAGAAGACACCATCAGGAGTCCTCACAGGTTATTCTGTTCCCAAGCTCAGGTGAGCTTGTTTCCTGTCCAGTAGCTAAATGAAAAACAATAGTGTCTAACATGATGATATTTGGTAAGATTCTCTGCTCCTTGTGGCCTGGGTCAATGATGTGATGATTATGTATTAATTTATGCATAATATTTTTTGAAGTGGAATTCATACAATGACATTAATACACATATTCTAATGCACATTCTAAAAGCATGCTTTTAAGTTCTGAATTAACTC